GAAGAGGAGCAGAGACTCCTCATAGATGATGAAGAGGAGCAGAGCCTCCTCATAGACGATGAAGAGGAGCAGAGCCTCCTCATAGACGATGAAGAGGAGCAGAGCCTCCTCATAGACGATGAAGAGGAGCTGATTGAAGTTGAAGCAGCTGAGGACAGCTGTCTCCAGCTGTGACTCAGGAGGAGGAGGAGGAAGAGGAGGAAGAGGAGCAGAGCTCATTGTAATTCAGTCCTAGAAAGTGATCATAGTTTCATCATCAGGTGAACTGAATGGTTCCCTTCTATTCACACAATGACCTTCAATTCTATTCAGTTTATTTCTATAGTTTCAATTCACATCATTTCAGCTCACTTGATATTAAATACTTTATTATTATTATTATTATTATTATTTTTACAGTGTCCTGTCTGTAAATGAGGCAATAATAATAATTGTCTTGATGCCAAAAAGAGACCAACAGATTTTACTTTCAGCAGTGGAGCAGTACGGCTATCGCCATGGTGATCCGCTGGATTTATGCGTATAAATAGATTTATTATAATTCATGCAGGGAGTTTTACAGGTTAGATGGACGCTGCAGTGGAAGAACAGGAAAGGAACAACAGAAAAAAGGAGAAAAGATGAAAGAAAGAGGAGATAAAGAAAGAGGAGGTAAAGAAAGAGCATAACATTAACGCATAAAGACCTGCTCTTTATTTCAGAGTTAAATTCTGTTTAAAGTAACAGATTATTAAAAATGTCTCTTTTCTTTTACTGGTTGATGATTTTCTTTATTTGGACCCAAATGGTTTATAATTGTTACTCCTGCAGTAGAACCTCCTCTACTGCTGGGGTTCTCCTGCTGGACCTCCTCCTCTATCTTTGTTCTCCTGCAGCTTCTAACCAGTTTGCTGCTGATTCAGCTCCATCCACTCTGAGCAGCTTTGCTGTCCCACAGCATGATGCTGCCCCCTCTGTGGTTGACTGGAGATGAGATGTGAAGAGCTTATTTTGATGTTTCCTTTGACCGTTCCATGTTGGTCTCCTCTGATGAGAACTTCTTGTGTGTGTAGATGTCCTTCCAGCATGTAATGTTCTCGCGTCTTCGCTCCCCTCGGGTTTTTAAGAGCTGCTGTCTGTATAGCGCCCCCCGCCTCTGTGATGAGTTCTTGCAGTAGGGTTCTGCAGCAGGTCAGGCTGGACTTGGAGCGTGCTGATGCACGGTGGAGGCTCCTCCCCACAGGGTTCCTTCCATCAAAGGTTCATGCAGAAGCTGAAGGAGAAAACTGTTGTTTTCCTTAATCGTGAAGCAGAAGAGATGTTCAAATGTTCTGCCTCTTTTCTAAAATTAATTTTTTTTAAAATCAAAGCTTATTTTCTGTTTTTCTTCCGAATAAAAAGAAACCCTGAAGAAGTGACCTCGGTGGCTGGAATAATAATCTGTCTTCTTTCTCTTTGTCAGGATTTCTTTCATAGCTGAAGTGAATTTAATCAGGAGCTCCTCTGAGGAGCAGAAATGACCTCCATGGTCAGTTTAGAGCGGAACCCTTTTATAAACTAGCCGTAGCTAGCTAGCTGCTACGATGCTACGCTAAGAGCCGAGCCTGAAACGGCATCAGGATGGTTAGAAAATCCCCCCCAATGACTGCAGAGCGACTGGATGCAGTGGAGCTGCTCAAGGGTTCCTGGGTAGAAATGAGTTGAACTGAAGGAGACTGAACATCAGCAGATGATCGGATTGTTCTGGAACCATCAGCTGAATGTGTTTCTGATAGAATCCCTTTGGTTTGAGTTTTATTTATCCTGCTTGGTATCAGAGGAACGTCAGATATTATCGTCACGTTGAAATGTAGCTGGTTTTCCCTCCTAATGAGCTCAACCATCTGATCTGCAGTGGATCAGATGCTAAAGACCATGAAGCTGCTGCAGCGTCGGTTCCTCCAGCCGCCTCATTTATCATCACACTATACCTGACTGCTGCTGATAGAATTAAACCTGGTTTACCCACACGCTATCTGAACCAGAACCAGAACCGGAATCAGAACCGGAATCAGAACCAGAATCAGAACCAGAATCAGAACCTGAACCAGAACCAGAATCAGAATCAGAACCAGAACCAGAACCAGAACCAGAACCTGAACCAGAATCAGAACCAGAATCAGAACCAGAATCAGAACCGGAACCAGAACCGGAATCAGAAGCAGATCCAGAATCAGAACCAGAACCAGAATCAGAACCGGAATCAGAATCAGAACCAGAATCAGAACCGGAACCAGAACCGGAATCAGAAGCAGATCCAGAATCAGAATCAGAACTAGAACCAGAATCAGAATCAGAACCAGAACCAGAACTAGAACCAGAACCAGAACCAGAATCAGAACCAGAACCAAAACCAGAATCGGAATGAGAAGCAGAATCAGAACCACAATCAGAACCAAAACCAGAGCCATATTAAGAATCAGAACCAGAACCAGAACCGGAAAGAGAACCAGAATCAGAATCAGAACGTGAATCAGAACCA